CTTTCTTGCTTTGGTCATTATCATCACGTCACTCGTCAAATTTTACTCGGATGGCCGGTCGAAACTTCTAAGGGAATGCTACAACCATGGACCGGCTTTCCGAATCGTCGTGCTAAAAATGTCAGTCATTTTCACATTATCAGACGATGAAGAAGTGGCTTTTGGGGTGGGAGCGACAAAATAGACCGGCGAGGTGGAAGCCGTCAAGCGTTCCTGGTCATGAGGCAGCCCGTTCCTTTCCAAAAGAGAAGATTAGTCACCTAGCGCTTACAAATGACTCGAAGTGTAGAAAGCACCCCGCCTTTGAATGGTACGGAAATGTCGTCCTACCCCAAAACCAGAATTCAAACCAAGAGGCTTTTGTCGGCCGACACAGAGCTCGGCGAGGTCTACGGCACGGAACATGTGGACCGGGTGCCCGTACTATACCTCGAGGTCTTCTAGGACGCGCTCTGTCGAAGATGTGGGCAACAGGGATAAGCAGGTGCGTGGCCGGATAATGATTCAGCCCAAGCCCCAGCTAGTGTTATAAATACAGATACTGACGACATTTCGTCTATTTCCTTATTCCTCAGAGGCCTTTTTGATAGCCCACTACGTGCACCCCATGTCCTCTACCACAGGAGATGGACCCATGTCTTCACGTCCTATGAATCAACAATTTGATGAACCAAACCTCTCGTCCGGATTGAATATGCAACATTCTGAAGTACCCTTACATCATGACGACGAAAAGGTCAAGAGTGGCGCTCCTTCTCCATTTGGGTCCGGTGACGCTATTGCCGATCCGACAGTTGAGACCACCGCTGCTCCCACTGCCGAGCAACCATTCCCTGATGAACCACCTACGACGACCAACGAAACTCATGGAAAGAAGAATGCGTCTAGCGATAACGAGATGCCAAACATCGAGACGACACCGGTGGAGGATGACCCCCGCCAATGGTCAGCTCGAAGAAAGGTATATCTAGCATCCCAAACGCAATAAAGTGTTAATGTGATCGTATTAGCTTGTCATACTCGGGATCATATCGTTTGCAGCTTTGGCTCCAACAACTGGTGCCTTCATTTACCAACGTATGTCCATTGAGCGAATATTATTCTGAGGAATCTCGCTGATACCAGCCTCCCCGAAATTTTAGCCGCCATACAAGCCATTGAAAAGGATCTACATGCCACCACTAGCGAGATCGCTCTCAGTCTTTCCCTCTTCATTTTGGTGCAGGGCAACGCTCCACTAATATGGTCGTCTCTAAGTGAAATAAAAGGAAGAAAGTTCGTATACATTGCATCCATGTTGGTATGTCGATTCTACAAGCCGGAGAGAACTACTGCTCACTCCCATTGAATAGGTATTTATAGTCGGCTCCGCCATCGGTGGTGCATCCAAGCATATTGTTGTTCTTATTTGCATGCGAATGCTACAAGCGGCTGGCTCAGCGGCGGTACTTGCTATTGGTGCCGGAACCTTGGCTGTAAGTTCCTCATATGTTAATGAGCAAAATCTGACGGATATATACAATAGGATATATATGCACCAAAGGAGCGCGGTACGATGATGGGTATTTACTATGCCGCCCCTCTCCTCGGTCCCTCTTTGGGTCCACTCCTCGGTGGCGTCCTTACCACCATCTGGAATTGGCGCGCAACCTTCTATTTTCTCACTATTATCGGCGG